CATAAAAGCTCAGAAAAACCAGCACGGAATGGAATAATGCTCGCAGATGCATAGTGCTACATTCTGAAGGCTTGAAAATGACAAAGTGGTTTCCTTTTATTCAGTAGCCTAAGCAGAAGTAGCAAATTTCACGGTGCTAGGTCTCGGTGGAATACTTTTAAAAGGAGAAAGAGGTACAAACCGCTAATGGCTGAAATGGAAAACAGGGATTAGAGATGTTCATCTATGCTGTAGGAGACCATTTAGAAATATAACAGATCAATATGGACCCTTTATCGGGGTTACTTCAATGGCAACTGTTTATTCCTGCAGACAGTGAAAGAGTACCCTTCCTACATTCAAAGTAGCTTTTAAAAAATATTTGATATTCTGGGAAGCTGTGCATACCTCATCCATGAAAATAAGTCTTTAAAGTTGGCAGGGAAAGAGTCCTTCATAGAAGAGGATTTGAAGCCAAAAGAGTTCAGGTGACTTAGCAACAACCATAGGCAGAATGCCAGGCAGAATGCCAGGCACAGCCAGGGGCCGAAATTTCCTCCAACCTGAAAAGATTCTTAACTGTGCATGAAAGGGAATCTGGAAGTTGTCTGTGAGCTTATACCTGGTCCCACTGGTGCCTCCTCATCAGCATGCCAAGCCAGGACTCAGAAAGCTAGGGAAAGAATCCTTCAAGCACAGGAAAATAGACAAATTTCTTTCCTCCAAGCCTAATCTGATGATTTAAATCTGTATATCCTAATGCCTCTCTGGTGTTCTAGCCATCTTACTCCTTTTAAAGAACACTTCTGCGGGGAGCTATCACAAGTAATTTTTCTTCTGATTAAACGCATTGGCCACAAAATAGCAGGTGGCTTCTGAACACACTGAAATTATCAGAAATTTTAATAGGAAACGTATGAAAGGTTTAGAACACCGGCGGGTTAAAATGTATCTAAAATTTTTGTGCAGACACAAATACAAAATTTCCTTCTAACTACTAGGATTAAAGGGTGATTTCAAAAGAAGATAAAACCTTACAAACACAAAACTTAAGATGTATTTAAGATTTTCATTTAACTCATTACTGAGGAAACCAATTCAAAAAAGAACCCCAAGTGCAGATATAATTAAAAACCAGGAAAGCTAAAATGGAACTGCAAATGGGAGGGAAAATTCACCTTCCCAACAGCACCAGGCAAGAATGTGGCTGTGCCATAGTACCCCGCTTTCCGCAGGGGGAGCCCTGCTCGTCAGGAGATCCCTGAGACCACAGACAGTGCGAGCCCTATTTACACCATGTGTTTTTTTCCTACACACGCTAAATTTTAACATATAAATTAGACACACTAAGATTAACAACTAATAAAATTGAACAACTATAACCATAGACTAATAAAAGTTACATGGATGTGATCCTCCCCCCAAATACGGAATTTTCCATTTAGTATTTTTCAGGCCACAGTTGAAGAAAACCACAGACAGGGAGAGGCTACTGTACTGCTATCAGTTATATGCAACTTGCAGAGTTATCAAATTACTTCCTGGCACTCAGAATCAGATACCACAAAACGGTGTGATGATAGGTGATTGTGCATAATTTTCCAACAAAGCACAATTATTTCCTCTACATGGGTCACTGAGGATCTTATTTACTTAATATGAAAATCTGGCACATGGTAGGTACTCCATAAATATTTACAGAATTAATCATTAAGCTAGGTGTGTATCATCCCATTCCATCACTTAAACAACCCTTGAAGATAAACCTGATTCCACTGACAGGAAACTAACTTGCATGACCTTAAATAGCTACTATGTCTTCGAGGTTGGGGTAAAGGACAGCAGGGAAGATCTGACTCAGACCTATGGCCTGAGAAAACCCATTTTATTTTTTTCTTTTTACCTAATACATGTCCTTTTTATTTATCATCATGAGACCATCTGTCTTTAAATCAAGGGATGCTGATTTAACACACTTCCTTAATGAGCACAATGTTGGAGAGCTTTCTTTAAGAAAACTAAGTGAACAGCAACACTCAGGAGAGTCAAACCGTAAACCTACACCGTACAGAGCAATCTTGTTTGCAGCCTTGCAGATTGGCCCAGGGTATTTACCAGCCCAGACTACTTTCTTTCCCCCTTAGGCCTCCTTTCTCACTTTCAGGATAATAGAGCTGGATGAATTCAACACTGTTTATATGTGTTGTTTTCTTTTCACAGAAATCAGGATAATGCTTAGGAAAACAGTACCAATTCACACTCACTGTATACTTACTGTGACACCAGTTCCTTTCGCATCAACACTACCAGCTAAGTATTATAATCATCTCCTTTTTGCAGCTGAAGGAAGTTAAAGTGCATGAGCAACCTTCACAAAATCACCAGGCACGCTCTTGCAGTTCTGGGCATCGATCTGACCCATGTGGCCACTGTCAGTGTGCTAAATCACTCTGATGTCTGGATAGCCTACTGAGGTTTATCCCGTATCAGTTCGTGATTTTCTGCAAACTTCTTCTGCCTGATTATCATCCTAGCCTCCAAGGATACCGGGATTCCTACAGCTTCCAGCGTCGTGGGCTGGTAACTAAGGACCGGCTCCATTCCTGGAAGCTTTTCTGGCCCCGGCACTTGGGATCACTTGGGTACTTTGCATTCATCCTAACAAAGCCAGGGGCCAGAGAACAGAAGATGGTGGTCTTCTGAGGCCTTCACTAGGCGATCAAAAGATGTAGAGCAAATTCCCTGCTTTCTTTGCTTGCCAGAGAATAGGCTGCCCTTAGAACGAAGTGCGAGTATATTTTCCACGCCCCCAGATGAGATTTGAGCTAATAACAGCACAATGCTGCAGATAGAAGGTGTCCTGTATGATTTATTTATCTTGATGTCAATCCTCTGAGACAGGTACTATTATCACCCCTATTTTGGAGAGGAGGTTGAATAACTCACCCAGGTTAAGCAGTTTGCCAGGATTCCAAGAAAGTTGCAAATGACCAATACCAGAGGTGTTCCATGGAGACCAACTGCACCACCAAAAGCAATGTGACAACTGCTTGCAATATATGCCCCCTTCCCCTGCCCCTCTCTTCTGTCATTTCTAAGTGCTACCCTCCACTCCATAAGCACTGAAGCCTTCACAGGGGCATCCTGCTCATCCTCTACAAGCCATTACGAAGCTTGCCTTTCCCTCCAGGGTACTTCATAACTCTCATCCCTAATAAAGGACAGCATTACTTTCAAAGAAGATCATAAGAAGACTCATTACTACTACACAGGCCTGAAGAAGCATTAAGCAGCTACTGCCCGATGCAGGAGCCCATAGTGAGGCAGAGTTACTAATGGACTGATCGCTTCTGGGGTGCAACAACTGATCCTAAATGGGGTTTTCTTATATCCTGATGGGAGAACTAAAAAATGAAACCTAGACACTTGTAATTCAAGTTAAGTGACCTCACTACCTTTAGGATTTCTGGAATCTCACCCCAAAGGGTCATTAGCTTTAATTGTGGGGAGAGAAAAAAGTGCCATAAAAGGTGATTTTTATATTTAAGTTAGGAGAATTTCACTCTCCTGTTAACAGCTTCAGCTGCACCTCGGTGTGCACTTTGTATATTTAGACATTACCAGATTGATCAGCAAGCATCTAACCTAGCTCAGCATGTTTTAAAGTTACTGCCAGAACCCTCTCTACAAATAGTTTTCTGGATAAACAGAATATGTAAAACAGACCAAAAGGGAACTGGTTTGGGTGACAAATGCATGTCAATCCACAGCATCATCACTTGTGCTCTTTGGTAGCCAGGGCTCCAGGAAACACTTCGAAAATCACCAACCAATTTCTGCTGTAGGGAAGTAAAGGGTTCAGCTGCTGATCTCATGATTACAAGGTCAGAAGTGAGCTACAAAAAGAAATACTGCATATAGTCTTTGTTTAACACATCCCCGTTCAAAGCAATAGGAGAACTAGAAAGAGGGGTCAGAATTTCTCAAAACAGAAGGTGGATTGGGAAGAAGCATGCTCAGTGATTCCAGGGCAAGTTACTCTTCTGCTGGAGCACTGACTCTCCAAGAGCGAAGGGAGGATATGGACCAGGACCACCCTCCAGATTCCCAACACCCTTCCCCGCTACCAAGCCCACAGAAGAGTGCTCTTTCATCCCCCTTTGACTGCAAAGTCTGTGAAAGGAGGGTGGGGTATTGCCTACCTGCAGTTTGGACTGCAATGTGGAAGGCTGATAAGATCTGGACGAGACCCTTTTCCTTGAACCACTACCACTGTCAGTAGGTGGGTGGACATATTTGCTGTCTCACCCCCACAGGTCCCAAATGCGGGACTTGACCCTGAGGTCTTTGCAGTTCATATACTGTCCCCTTTTCTCTTCCAAGAGCTTCCTGACCTCTACATATAATAGTGAAATACTCTTGAGCTAATGGAGTCTTAGTTGGTGCCTTAAAGGACAGTGAGTTACTATTATAATTATACTTCAAGAACTTAGAACATCTCTGGCTGTGGTCATCACAGGGGGTCCTCAAGGAACTGGATGGCCACAGGACAGGGATGGCAGGGAAACTGACTTTCCACCATGGATTCTGCTATGTCACTGGACACATGAGTCTCTTACCAGCCAGAAAAGTCAACATACTTCAGCCTAGCAAAAACAACAAAACCGTCCTAGGTAAACACTTTATCCACTCAGAAGATGCCCATGCTGATCCTGTAACCAAGCTGACCTAGAAGACTTCCTTTACCCAGGATTGGAATGCTCACTCTCTCCAGGACACTCCAACCCCTCACTCTGAACATACTTTTATATCAGACGCTCAAAACCCAGTTTCCTCTCGTAGCCACTTGTGCTTGTAAAGTGTTACAGCTCAAGTGGATCAGAGTTTATTGCCCTTTTTAGAATAAACCTATGGCAGACGACTTTGTCAGGAAGATGCCGTTTCACTGGAAGGATATGGGAAAGGTCATCGCAATGGGGAGGGGAAAAGGGAGAGAAATAGCTCGATGCTGCATACTTTACCAGTTATGTCGTGCTGTCGGAATGACTCGCTGTAGATCTGATACTGATTCGGACAGTGTTTCTTCAACCACTTGCAGACATCCTGCTGGGTCCACAGAGCCACTGGTTTTGACAGCTTCACTGTAGCTGACTGTAAACAAAGAAGGAAGAGAAGCTCTGTTAGTGCCAATTCCGTGCCAGGAGAGGCACGACGGCGCAAGTCCTAGAGTGTGGGAAGGTCTGCTGCCTGCTTCTCTGGAGATACCTATCACGTTCTTGTCCTCCTCCTAACCTCTGCAAACCTTTTCTGTTTTGCTAAAAACCACAAAAATAAGGTCCAGGAGGAAAAAAAAGTAGGTCATGGTGTTGCCTACTAAATACTCTAGCAATAAAATAACAGGGTTGCTAAGCAAGGAATTAAATTTTGGGGCAGGGCTATAGCTCAAGCACAAGGTCCTAAGTTCAATTCCCAGTACCAAAAAAAAATTCTTTTAAAATTTAATTTTAGCGGTAAAATAGCAACCCCCAAGCACCTTTCTCATATTTTAAGGTGTTCATCTCTGTTTCTGAGAGCCCTAGGGGCTTGGGCAGTGCTTTCCCCAGCAGGTGCAAATCATTTTTTAGGACTGAATGTTACAGGATTTAGAAACGTGCACATTACAAAGTGCAAGTATGCCTGGGGGCTCTGGATTTAGGTTGGCACTGTGAAGCCTGGGACATGAGTCAGCCGCAGGGGGCAAGCAGAAAGTCATTCCAACAGCATGGGGCCACCGTGATGACAATGGGAGGAGCCAGGCTTTACTAAGGAGAAGCCAACAACCGAAGGCCCCTTTCTACTCACTGGCCCTTTACTACTCATTCATTAGGGGTTGATGGGGGTGGGTGGACCCAAAACCAAAAATCAAAAGTAAAAACACACAGAGGCATGAAGGGCCTAGCTTCTGACACATGGGGACCGCAATTAGCTTTATTAATAAGCACTAGCTCTATGCTCCATACTAGTCTTCCTCCTAGATCCCAATACTTTAAGGCCAGATGAAAGCTGCAACGTTAATCATCTGTAACATGCTGGGTGAGTGTTGGCCAGAAACTTAGGGTTGAGTTTGACAGTTCTTTCCAGGATCCTGGGTGGTGCAAAGATCCGGCTTAAATAGCATCATCCTTCTTGCTGGGCATAATTTCCCTGCACTTCTCTTCCAAGTTAAGGCAAACCGAAAGCTTTAAGTTGGTAGGAGCATGACTGTATCCGTTACAGAAGCTTCCAGAAAGCAGTGACTCTAACATCTAGTAGCTGTGTTTACTTTCATTATATTTAAAGTTACCTTTATTTTATGGCAAATAAGTTATGAAATAAGTTCTCTGTAGTAATTTCTGAGTGAAAACTCAGTGGCCCTATTTAAAGATGAATGATTAAGGAAACAAAGGCACAGAAGGTGACATAATAACACCATAAAAATCTTGGAAGAAGGATGCAAATGAGTCCAGTTTCTAAAGCACAGTGCTTGGGTGTGTATTTTATTACTGTATTTCCAAAGGTCACCATTTATACAACAATCAAAAACAATACTCCCTCCTTTCTAGTTTGCATGGTGGTAATTTTTCTTCCATTCTTATTAAATGTGGCAGATTCTGCTTTCCAAACACAACTTTATAAATGTGTGTATGTATGTGTATATATGTATCTGTACAAACATATATATATGTATACATGTATATATCCAGCCATATACATATACAGTATATGAGATAAAAATATTTTTATATTTTATGTAAAAAATAAAGTATAAAAATAAAAAAGTATATATAACTATATTCCTATACAGTATTTTATATTATATAGACAAATATATACATATATACCTGCATATATCACATATATGTGGGCCTATTTGTGTATTCATACATATATGTCTGTGGAGAAGGATGTTCTTTGACTAGAAAGCACTGAGGACACACAATGATTTGTTTATTATGACAAAATGAACTGAAACCTTTCACCTGAACACAACAGTGTACTTGAATTGCAGGAGATCCCTATTTTTCAGTCTTGCCATACACTGTAAAAATTAATGGAAGGACTGTAATTAGAGTGGATTGATAACTGGTGGTCAACTTATAACCCCCAGCTGAACGGGGGAAGCGTGGTGCTGGGTGTGGGAGGCCCACCTGGGGATTGTTGCCAGCAGCATAAGAGGCAGAATTGGAGAAGGATAATGCTTTAATTACTAAAACCTTTGGCATCCGCCCATTTGTACCAGCAACACCCCTGGTTCTCACTCAATAAAAGGTGACTGAGATTGGTAACCAGGGCTGCAGTCCGAGATGCTGTAAGCCCCCTGATTCCAGACTTTTGCCTCTCTAGTTTTTCTTGTCTCTCTTCTTTTCATCCATGGGCACCTTGTTCTCGGGACCTGTCACTCTGGTTAGAATGACATATGTCTGCTTCTCATTCCGTGTGGCTAACACTGACATTTGGGGTTGATATTTCCACCCCTTGCATGTGGGTAGGTATGTGACACTGTGACCAATGGAACACAGAGGAACTGATGCCATGTGGCTTCTGAGGCTAGGCCATAAAAAGGGTGCAGCTCCTATCTGGTGCACACTCTAGCCTTCACCCTTGAGACCACACCACCATACTGCATGGAAGCCCAGGTCACATGAAGAGACCATGTGTACAAGTCTGGCCAATCTCCAACCAAAGTCTCAGCAGACAGACACTACCAAGCACAAGACAGAGGAGCCCACAGGCTGCGGATGATCCCAGCCACAAGCCTTTGACTGTTCTACCTGAGGGCCTGCATGGCCTGACACAGGGATAATGCTCCCTTGCCGTACTAAGTTAATTCCAGACTCCCATCATCAGTGAGCATCATAGATAGTTGTTTCACACCACAAAGATTTGAGACTGTTTTGCACACCTATTAGAACACTGCAACGCATGCTCAGTGAGGAGACCGAGCACCTGCAGGAACTGTGTGCTCCCTAGGGTGCCCTGCATTTCACAGGAGCTTGTGCGTGCATGAGGAGTGAGTGAATGACATGAAATGATTTCACTGAGGCGCTGTTCGCAGGCCTGCCTCACCATCTAACCAGCACCAAGCTTCAGGTCCCGCCCCTGCTGCCCTTCCCCACGATGTGATGAGCTTCTGTGTCTCCTACTCTGCCACAGCCGCCTCTGTGCGGCACCCTTCAATCCTGAGTCTCAAGCTTCCAACCGCTTTCCTTGTAACATCTGGGAAACCACACTGATTACTTTCCTAATTTTGATGAGAAAGCAGAATCTTGGGCATGGAGGGTACCAGCGAGTACGTTTTTGTTGTCCTTGATGTTGATGTTTAGACTTTTTCTTTTTGCCCGTGATTACTTCCATTTCTTTGCATAATTGGGAAACCAGACTTTAAGACCTTTTAGGTAGAGAGGCACTTACCACCATGTTTCCCAAGTCAGCACCTCTGAATCTGGCTCTTTCTCGCTCTACAAATTTTTCTTCAGATTAGCTGAATGAGTTTAGAGCTGACACATCATTACCCCAGAACCTCAGCAAGTTTCTTGCAAGTAAAGCTAATCACATTTTAGAAGACTCCTATAAACCAGTCACAGAAGGCTATAAATTAGGAAGGGAAAGGCAGGAACATGAAGTTGCTTATACATCAATGTATTAAACTTCTTCCTTCCTGAAAGGTCATTCTTCAACTTGCCCATTTCCCAGGGAACAGAGGAACCGCTCCACCCACCCCAGCCTTTCCGACGAGGCGTCAGGCGGAGATGTGCCCAAACTTGCCAAGCCAGCTCAGAGCACTTCCTAGCCGGCCCATCACAGGTGCTGTGTATTCATTTTCCTCTCATCATAAATGCAGTGGTTCTAGGCTAACACTCGAGGGGTGTCTTCACTTCTCCAGCAGCATATATTCTTTGGTAGTAACGCAGCAACACTTTCTTGGAAAGGAGGAAACTCAAAGCTCAAAACTATGAACACAGAGGGATAAGCCTCCCTGGAAACTGGCAGAACAACGAAATGGAAAATAAAGATTTCTACCACGAACAATTCCCGTTTATCTCTTCTTGTCCAACCAATGACATAGTACTGACCCTGTTTATCAGTTGATTCTTAGCCTTGGTTGTGTTAGGAAATTATGATGACTTCAACTGCCCAGGCTGCTCTTCTTTCTGGATTCTCAGAGCCAATCTCCTTCTGTTCTGCCAGAACATCTCTTCTCGTAGCCGTGTGTAAAACTCAGTCACAGGTACTTCCCTCCATCACCATTACACCCTCCCCTACAGCAATCAAATTGTGAGGTGAAAGCCATCGCCTGGTGCCTTTACGAGCTTAGGCTTTACTTCTATGTGCAACTTGGAACGATGTGGAGAAGTGCATGTTGAAGCCTAGTCTATAGGATCTCACACACGGCCACACTGAAGGCAGGAACGGGGTGTGGTGGTGTCACCTCCCACCCCTGGCTCCTGTACCCACAGGTCTCTTACATCTATCACCAGGGGATCGTTCTCTCTGATACGCTGCCAGGCCATACGGTTTTGATTTTTGTTTTGTTTTGCACAGTAGGAGCCCAGACCAAAATAATAGTAGTTCATAAAGCAAAGAGAGAACGCATTGCACATTTACTAGAAGCAGTAAACTAATAAGAAAAAACATCGCGCCCAAAGGCAAACATTAGAAAAACATTCGCCCCACCTTCCCTTCCACCACATCACTGCTGAATTTACAGCCCTGGAGACAATTCTGGTTTGTTCTGCTGTCCCGAAGGGGCCTGAGGCCGTTTATTACCCTAAGCCCAATGCATTCTGGTACCAAGCAGAATTCCAGGCACTGTATTTCCTTTCTGAACTGGTCCTGGCCTCTCCACAGACAAAATGAAAATGCATTTCAGATGACTTCGCTTTGTTTTTTACAGGGCGAATTTATGCAAAATACACATTCCTGAGGGAAAAGATGTTGCCAAATTATTTTTTCCAAATGATTACTTTAATTCACCCTTGTACAATAATTTCAGCAGATTTCTGATTTGTGCCAAAGTACAAAGCATTCTTAAACACTGAGTTCTGAGTTCTCCAAGGTAAACCTGAAGCTGTTTTGCTAAGTAATACAATAATTAAAAGCCTTGAAGAAGTTTGATATTTAAAAATAAATTT